ATTTATACAAACGAGAGGCTAACAACAATTTATACAAATGGCCTGCCAGCAAAATTATACAATTCTGAAGAGGAGCCAACGAATTATACAATTGCTTCTTTTTGTATATATGTATAGCGAATTATACATATATATGTTTGCTATGGAGCGCAATTATGCAAACTTTGCTATAACATACAAATATGATTTTTTTGTTTGCTATCTGTGAAAGTTTCTCAATTTTTTAACACTTGGATATAGTGGGCCCATTCCTTGACTTTAAAGCTCCAAAAATAAGGAAGAAAGATAAAAAATTTAAAATTGACATGACCCAATAGAATTATACTAAATAATATAAATAAAGTGAATTATGGGGTCCTCTATTCTTTAAGAGGTCGTTTGATAGAATGTATAAGAATAATGCTAAATAGAGTGTATAAGTAATGCTTGCATTAACAATGCATGTATTAGTTATACTTGCATTAATTATACATAGATTATTTTAATGCATTGTTTGGTTTGATGCATTAAAAATAGTATGCATGACATTAAAAAAAATTATTTACAAAAATACTCTTGACTTTTATGGTGGAAAAGATGTAACAAAGGTTTTAAGGGGTAAGTGGGTCTTTTATCATATTAATGCATGCATTAAAACCATTGCATTGTTAATACCTAGAAATCCATGGTATTAGCAATACACTTCTTAATACACAATAGAGTGTATAACTAATGCAAACATTAGTTGTACATAGGTTGAAAAAGAGTACCAAACAGAGTATTAGTAATACACAAGACTAATACATGCATTATTTTTCTTAACACACTCTACCAAACGACCCCTAAGTTCATTATATCCAAAAGAAAAAAAAACGGACATCATTCTTCTTCAACTTCGAATGTTTTTCTTCTAAATTGAAAAATTTATCAGAATTATATCTCCCAATATTAGTAATTGACAAAATGAAAATTTGCTGAAATAATTTTGTCAGAAAAATTGAATTTCTAAATACAAATATAATTAAATTTATATATAATCGAAATGATGCTCATTTTGAATGTACTTTAATACAATTTCAAAAGTGAAAAGTGAGTTAAAAATAGATTATTTTAAATAAGTAAATAATTTTTATGTTTAAATGGATCCTAAAAGTAGAAGTTAAAAAGAAATGAATTAGGAAGCTGGAAATTTTAAAATATGATAAATGAAAAATGGTTTAATCCTACGATACGAATTATATTCGTATTTAAATTTGACTATTAATATCTTAGGTAATTATTTATCTATAAAAAATAAAATATATTTTTATTTATATTATAAAATTGAAGGAGTAATTTAATTGGTTTCAAATAATTAAAAAAAAAAAACTAACTAGGAAAAAGAAGAAAAGAAGACTATGAAAGAGAAACAAAAAGCAAAGAAATAAAAATCAGCAATGGGTCCCATAAATCAGAATATAATTGTAATAAAAAATACCCTCATACCATTAATACAAGTTGTACCTCTCCCATAGTAAAAAATTCGGGTAAATCTGTGCAAATGTATAACTAAACTGAAATACTATTTCTTATAATACAAGATATATTTGGCCTTTTCCCACAAAATAATGAGTAAATTTTAGATTTAGCAAACATAAAAATCATATTTGTATGCTATAACTATATTTTGTATAATTGCGCTTCATAGCAAACTTTATGTTTGCTATGACTATTAATATGTATATTTCAGTATACATATACAAAATAATAAATTGTATAATCTGTTTCAGTATACATATACAAAAGAATCAATTGTATAATCTGTGTCTGTATAAAGCGAGAAAGAAAGAAAGACAAAAGAAAACTAGGCAGTGGAAGATTTGTATTTGTATAATTATAAGTGTATAAGACAAAAATATATGTATTTGTATTTGTATATACAATTTTCTCTCGCTTTATACAAACACAATTTATACATTTTTGTTTGTGGCGAGTGAGAGAGGCGAGTGAGAGTGGCGAGCGAGATTCTCTGGGGAGAGAGAAGAACGAAAATATATGTATATATACAATTTTCTCTCACTTTATACAAATACAAACACATTTTATACATTTGTGTTTGTATAAAGTGAGAAAGCCGAGGGAGAGATTGCCTAGCGAGAAAACGAGAGTGGCGAGCGAGAAATTTAGGGAGAGAGGCGAATGACAACTGTTTGCTACGAGTTACAATTAAATCAAACTGTGGTTATAACATTTAATTTTAATTAATAGTTTACTATTTATACAATTTCCCTAAAATAATTTACGAAGAGTCTTTGAATTTCTCTATGTAATGCACACACATTAGATATTTTTTGCTTATTGAAAAAAAAGTGTCAAAATAACATAACGAAACCCTACATGAGGTGTCTAAAGTGAACATCGCCCAGTTAAGGTGTCTAAGTGAAACTTCGTACCAACTTTAGGGGGCCACAGATGGGTTTGGCCTTAGTCATTTATTACTTATTTATTTTAACATTAAAATACATTTATATTTTCAATAGCTAAGAAATATTTTTAAATCAACTTTAACATCATCGAAATGTGTTTAAGGACATACGAATTAATAATTCAAGTCGTTGAGGACTCAAAAGTCAAAGTCGTCGGCGACAAAAAACTTGCGATCCATTAGACAAAAGACAATGGAAAAAACAGTTGCCGCACTTTCCTCTCATTTTCTCATAGCAAACACACTAGCTAGCTGCTCATTCCTTGTTGTTTTTCAGACACTGTTCAGCTCAAAGCAATGTTCTACTTCGCCTTCCAACTCCTCACCAGTTTCATTATCTGTTCTTGTTTCTTAGCATACCCAATTCTTGCAAAGGTACAATCTTGAAATCCTTACAAGTAAATAGCTTTTCAAATTCAATGGATTTGTCTTTCTGGGTTCCCTCCTAAAAGGAAAAATATAGAGTATTTGAATGACATGAGCACAATCAATAGATTCATACAGTCAACTCTTAACTTGTGTGTGGTTGAGGCATTATAAAGTAGTAGCTCTTTCTTTCTTTGGGGTTGGGCTATTACCATGAGAAGAGTTCTACTTCAACCCATAAAAATAAAAATAATTCACTTTTATTCGGAATAGTTTTTCACTTTATTTGAAAATGAGTGATTTAGCCATGAAAATTACTCACTTTTTCACTTTTGAAATTGTATTCAAGCATAAATATTATTCCAGTAAAAAGTATAACCAAACACCACTTTAAGTTTGTCTAAACACCAATACTAATTGTGCATCTAAAACTTGCAAGAATCTTGTTTATGAATTATCTAATTGGTGCACGACTTTCTGCTATTTGCTGCAGTATCAAGAAAATGATTCTGTCACTCTATGGGTAAACAAAGTTGCACCATATGTTAACCCACAAGAGACCTACAGTTATTATAGCCTTCCATATTGTCGTCCTGGTGATGGTTATCATAAGCAGGGTGGCCTCGGCGAGGTTCTTGGAGGAAATGCTCTTATTGATAGTCGAATTGATATAAAGTTTAAGAGTCTGTTCTTCAACTTTTCACTGTGTATTTTTTTATGATTTGAAACACTTCTTTTTACTATTATCCATTTCCTTTTAACAGGAGATGTGGAGAAAAGATCAATTTGTGAACTTAAATTGGATGCATCAAAGATAGCACGGTTTAAGTATGCAATTGACAACTCGTATTGGTTTGAATTTTTTATGGGTACAGTGTTTCATGACATCTCTATGATACTGTCATTTATTTTCAACAATTACGCATAGCTCTGCTGTTTAATGTGTACTAATTTCTACACTTTTCTCCTGTTTTGGGTCATGACTTGTGATTCCTTCCTTCCTGGCTGCAGATGATTTGCCAATATGGGGTATGTTCTTAACTAGTTTTTCTCTAAATGTTTCTAATTACCATGTACGATTATAACATAAGTGAAAACTCACTTGGTATAAGGGAAATTCAGGTTTCGTAGGCGAAGTGTATCCTGACAGAGGTGGAGATAACAAGCATGTAGTGTACACGCACAAGATGATTCAAATTCAGTACAATAGAGACCAGGTGGCCATTTGTTTTTAGTTCTTAATGCTTTTTGGCATATCAATGTTCTACAACTTAGTGTAGATAATCTAACTAAACTCTCACTCCATTAGATCATTTCTGTCAACCTGAGTCAAGACATCCCGAAGCCATTGGAGGAAGGAAGGGCCTTGGACATGACGTATTCTCTTAAATGGTTCCCGACAAATATTAGTTATGAACAACGATTCAATGTTTACCTGGATAACTACTTTTTTGAGAACAAGGTACATGCCAATCTACTATCCTACTATATTAACTACTTAAGTGGAAGCTTTTGATGGGAGTATGATTATATTTTATCAACATTTAGAATTCATCGACACTGTTTATTGATGATATGCTAGCATGTGGTACCATAGATAATCTGTACCATGTACTTTCTTACTTGCATTATAACTTCTTCATGGAAGAACTTGATTAAAGCAACAAAACAACTGTGTCTTTACTCCCCCTCAAAAAAGCAGTTACTGCTGCTCTGTCAACTTGTGGATAATTGGGGTCTAGACCACAAGAAGTAGCTATTGTCTGAACTGGAATTGTGACTAGTAGAGAAATCTATGTTTCCTTCTATTCTAAACATGTAAGGACTTAGGCGAGATTGAGGCGTAGAAGTAGTTTTTGTTAAAAGGAGATATTTTTGGTCCCATAAAGTGTTTCTGCAAATAAAGGCCATGCACCAACTTCCGTTTGGCTTTCAACAGGGAAAAAAATACCTTTCTAAAACTCAATTATCTTTCTGGTTCTCATTGAAACAAAATATTAATGAGAAAGCAGATTTAAAATTTAGGCAGTTAGTCTCCATAAAGTTCTTCATGTTCCCAGCTCCTAAAATGTCTTACTCCATTTGCAGATTCATTGGTTCTCTGTAATCAATTCCATCATGATGGTAGTTTTCCTCACTGGATTAGTGTCTATGATTTTAATGCGCACTCTTCGCAATGACTACGCAAAATATGCTCGTGAAATTGACGATATGGAGACTCTGGTAAAGCTTTTTCTTCCAATTAGTCAAGTATTTGCTTGAACCTATGTCCAATGGCATATCCTTATCAGAAAATTACTGATTTGGGGTGTTTGGTTGGTTGAATTCTTGTATAGGAAAGGGATGTTATTGAAGAGTCTGGTTGGAAACTTGTCCATGGTGACGTCTTCCGACCTCCACAAAATCTGGCTCTCCTTTCAGCAGTTGTTGGGACTGGTGCTCAGCTTGCAACACTTGTTCTCCTTGTCATTTTATCTGCCTACTTTGGAAAGATGTACATGAGGTATGTTGGCAACCTGTTCTACTAATTAATTATGTTGATCATTTTCTATTTGAATACTAACTACAACATGGCTTAGGAGAGGAGCAATTATTACAACCTTTATTGTATGTTATGCTCTTACATCATTCATCTCGGGATATGTGAGTGGTGGAGTGTACTCTCGTAATGCTGGTATGTGCTCCTCTCCCTGATGTCTCATTAGTTGTTTCATGCAGCATAGTAGGTTATCATAATCAAATTTACCTGTGTAGCAGATGGATCATTTACCAATTGACGATTTTTTTACTCTTTGAATCCTTTCAGGTGAAAACTGGATGAAGTCGATGGTCCTTACAGCATCACTTTTCCCCTTTTTGTTCTTTGGGATAGGGTTCATTATAAACACTATTGCTATATATTATGGATCCATAGCTACTATTCCCCTTGGCACAATTATAGTTGTTTTTGTTATTTGGGCTTTTATCTCTTTTCCCCTGTCCCTCCTTGGTACTGTTGTCGGAAGAAACTGGAGTGGTACGCCAGATAATCCATGCCGCGTTAAGAATATCCCTCGTCCTATCCCTGAGAAGAAATGGTACCTTAGACCATCTGTTATTTCTCTAGTGGGAGGTCTTCTACCCTTTGCAAGCATTTTTATTGAGATGTATTGCATCTTCGCTTCCTTCTGGACCTACATGGTAATTACTCTTTTTGGTATCTAGAAAACATATCTTGAAATACTTCTTACACACTGTTTGTTCCTAGCATCTTTTTAGCAATATTCTCATCTACTTTTATTTCTCTAGTGTAGCTATATTTTGGCTGAAAAGTCTTTTCAATGTGTAATTTCACTAACCACATTTGAGAATATTCTTGACAGGTGCACTACTATGTGTATGGATTCTTGCTCCTTGTGTTCATTGTTCTGATCATTGTCACTGTTTGTGTGACAATCGTGGGAACATACTATTTGCTGAACGCGGAGAACTATCATTGGCAATGGACTTCATTCTTTTCGGCTGCCTCCACTGCTCTATATGTCTACCTATATGCTATATATTACTATCATGCAAAGACTTCAATGTCTGGTCTCCTCCAGACCAGCTTTTATTTTGGCTACACTCTTATGTTCTGCCTTGGTGTCGGTATCCTATGTGGTAAGCTCTCTTAGTAATCTCATTTGCACTGTGTAAATATTCTTTCCTTTAACTCTTTTCCCTGTCATTAACTCGATCCAATATCGTTTCTTGGAAACTCCAGGTGCTGTAGGGTATCTCGGCTCTAATTTGTTCATCAGGAGGATTTTCGGAAATATCAAATGTGATTAAGTGCATGACAATGCACTAGACAGGTTACTCTTTACAGAGTTCTACTCATCTGTTGAGCGCGAAGACGTATATTCATGCTTGTCTTTATTGATCACAAACCGTGAATGAACATTAGATGGAGCTTCATTTTACATAGACAAGAACTAGCATTGTACAATCTTTGGATACATTGTAGATTCTTCTTACTTTTGTGTATTCTATATGATCTGCATAAATTTCCTTATTAAAAGACTATTACATGATACATTCCTTTGGAAAAGATTGTCTTTAAACTTTTTGATTTCATAATTATCATTTACTTGCGTCGTATCACCTTTACTATCTATTTATTTTGATTAGAACATATCACCTCTACAACTAATACATCAAACATTATTATAATACGGAGAATCAAATCCTCTTCTATTATAAAGTGGAATATCAACTCCCTGGCAACAAGATACAAGTTCACCATCGTACTAAATTTTATGTTAATCTTATTACTATTAATCATTTGTGAATATATTTTTGAGTCTCCAACTAACGTCATAATGGAACGCAAGGAAACGGCCAAAGAGTTAAATATTACTACTTGTACTGTATTGACAAGAGCAATTTATAGATAAACCCAATCGATGGGACAACTCAATTTCAATTCAATCTGTGGTGTCAAACTTGGCTGTCCCCATGGCCAACGGAGTCACCATCTCCGACGCCGAGACCCCGTTTCTCAGCGACGTCGTTGAAGGCTCCGTTGACTATAAGGGTCGTCCGGTGACCCGATCCAAATCCGGTGGTTGGAGATCCGCATCTTTCATCATAGGTAATACTTGTCTATGATTTTGGAATATTACTACAATTTTAGCATTTATGTTGTTTTCAAAATTGGTTATCTTTCTGCATTTTAGCTGCTGCGATGTTTAAAGAGCTGTTTTTTTTTTTTCATATTAGATCTTTCTGCAAGCTGGGTTGTCTTGAGAATATGATTTTTGTTTCAATTATTCTAATGATATTCAAAATTTTCTGCAGTTTTAGCTACTGGGTTGTCTCGACTTTTGATTCTTTTTTCTCTGCTGTTATTGATTTTTCAAATCTTTCGGCACTTCTAGCTTCTTGTTGTTTTTAACAACTGATTTTTTCCGGCTACTTTATGGATTTTCAATCTTTCTGCAAAAAATTAGCATCTGGTTGTCTTAAAAATTGCCCTCAGCTAATTGGGGATTGAGGCGTTATTATTGGTGTGATAATAATTGTCGCTGATTTGCAAATCTATCTCCAATTTTAGCAGCTGGGTTGTCTTAAAAATGTTCTTATCTCAAATTCGCTGATTTTGAAACTTGATTATCTTCTTCCGTCTTATAGGCGTGGAGGTTGCAGAGAGATTTGCATATTATGGGATAGGTTCAAACCTAATAAGCTACTTAACGGGGCCACTAGGCCAGTCAGTTGCATCGGCAGCGGAGAATGTAAATGTTTGGAGTGGAACGGCATCGCTTCTTCCACTTTTGGGTGCATTTATTGCTGACTCATATCTGGGTCGGTATCGGACCATTATCATATCCTCTGTGCTCTACATCCTGGTTAGTACCCAATTCAGGTTTTTGTTTTGACATGCTTTTACTTTGTTTATCCCCATTAATGGTACAATAGGTTGTGGAAGTGCTTTGATAATAGGCTTTGATCTTCTTTGCCAAGGCGGATCACAATTTTAAGTCGGTGGTTGTGGAGTACTGGACCCATTCCCCTCTTGTGACAAGTAGTGCACGCGAAGGACACACACATACATACATAGGTGAGGCGGAAGTAGTGGGTTTGCCAACACAGGCTGTGCATGTAATAAATACGCCTATGCCTCTTTGGACTTGGTTGAAATAAAAATTGAGTTAATGGTCAAAAACACACTTATGATATCCTGATTTTTCGAGTTCTATACCTAAATTGCCAGGTGTGAGTTTTCTTACCTGAACTATCACCAACTATTTATGAAAACACACCTCAACTATTCGTTGTTTCCCTTTTCCTACTCAAAATATCACCATCCTTTGGGCAAGAAAAGAGAGTAATTAGTTAAGGTGTGTTTTGATAAATAATTGGTGATAGTTTTGATAGGAATCTTGTACTCATGATAGTTCAGTTTAGGTATGAACTTGAAAAATTGGGAATCGGGATAGTTTAGGTGTGTTTTTGACCTTTCACTCATATAAGATTGTTCTTTGTATATGAGGATAAAGAAGGACTGGTTGAAAGATTGAGCTTTTACTGCCCAAGTCCTCGTTGCATTTCTGGACATTTGGTAGTTGATTATTGTTGACATTAATAGTTATGAGTTTGTACTCAGTAGCAATTGGATTGTTTTGATTCATGGGTTAAGATGACCAGACTTTAGTAAATTGTCCTGCTCTCTTTAGAGAAACATTATTAACAAGTTAAGTGATGGGCCAAACATCACTTACATATGCTTATTATTGAGGAGTACATGAATAAATGCAAGAATTACATGTGCTTGGTGTTGCAAAGTTATACGTGGAGTGGTTTCAATGCATCTTTATTGATGTTGTATTATTCGGAAGGCAGCCATATACTATCCTGCAGGTGTAATGTGGTCTCTACTTGAAAGAGTTGCGTCTTCTACTGTTGCAGCCTGTAGCTTACCTTACCTCCCATTTTTATATATCTAGACATTACATGAAAGAAAGTATTATCTACTGTGAAGATGAAGAAATTGGGTAAGTACATAGCATATAGCACAAGTAGCATAAAGTGTGAACTTCATGCATCCAAGGTAGTGGCCTAGTGATCAATGAGGTGGATGCACGAATCACAGCTTAGACAAAAAAAAAACTAGGCTATTTTTTCCCATCTTCTTAAGCCTTGGTGGACAGAGTGCCCAGTACCTGTGATGGTGGGAGGTTGCAGTATCCGGTAGAATTGTTGAGGTGTGCACAAGCTAACTCAGACACTACAATTATCAAATAAGAAAACAGTGCGGACATCATGCTATTATGGGGTTTATTTATCCTTCTTGTCTTGATAGAAAAAAGTATGGGGCATTATTATACCTGTTTTTTGATAAGGTATCATTACTGTAATACCTTATCAAAAGTTTGACCTACAAAAGTTTGACTGGAACTATTAAAAGCTTCAAATGGCAGCATTTTTGAGTAGAAGGCACTCTGAAATTTAAATTTGATATTCTAAAGTTGGCTCTTTAGAACCAGCATATCTGTTAGCGTGAATAGATACTTAGACAGGGATTGTAATGTAAGGATGAATAATGTAGGGATTGTAATTAAGGATTAATAATGTAGGGATTGTAATTAAGGATTAATAATGTATATTTTAATGACGTTACTAATTCTCAAAAATAAAAAAAATAAAAAATAATGTAGATTGTAATGCAGTTATTACTATACTGGTATTATTTCTTATACAATGTATAGTTTAAAATGTATTTCTTTATATTTTTAAAAGGGATTGTTTAAAACATAAGGGTTATTTTGGTCATTTTAGTTACTAATCCTGGTATTACTAATCCCTATATTCCTATTCTTCATAAAATAGTACATCGATTCATGCATAACTTATGCATTATTATTAATGTTAGCAACAAAAATGACAAGCAAACAGAATGTATAAGTAATGCTAGATATTATCCAAGTAGAAAAATTGTAACCAAATATTTTATTGCTTATGCTGAACTTTCTGCAGGTATTTTCACCCGTATACTTGAAACCAAATGAGCACTTAAAGTATGGCTCCATGTATAGTTTCCTAGTACCAAGCAGCCTCTCTTCACTATAGCGAGAAAGATAAAAACCAAAGTCTCTGTTCTATTGCTTGATTTGTTTAGGAATAAGAAAATTGTCTAGGTGAAATTTTCTAAGGAGAAAGGCATAACGATGGCATGATTTAGGAACAAGTACGCCTCTCAAAAAAGTACTGTCTACTTTTTGCTCTAGCAAAAAAAGAATTAGCAAGTAAATCATTCTTCGTTTGTTGAACTGCAGGGACTTGGCTTCCTGACGCTTTCAACTGTTCTCCCTTCCAGTCATTCTGACTGCCAAGATACTGCAACATGTTCTCCTCCCAAGTTCCAGATTATTTTCTTCTTCTTTTCTTTGTATCTAGTAGCTTTTGGACAGGGAGGGCACAAGCCTTGTGTGCAAGCTTTTGGAGCGGACCAATTTGATGCTCAAGACCCAGAGGAAAGTAAAGCTAAAAGCTCATTCTTCAATTGGTGGTATTTTGGAATGTGTGGTGGGTTGTTCATGACTCTCTGTATATTGAACTACGTTCAAGATAATCTTAGCTGGGGTCTGGGATTTGGAATTCCCTGTATTGTCATGGGTCTCGCACTTGTTGTTTTCTTGCTTGGAAGCTTCACTTATCGGTTTCGCCAAAGCAGTGATGAAAAGAACCCATTTAATAGAATTGGTAATGTGTTCATTAATGCAGCTAGGAATTGGCAAACAACCACTTCAGCTATATCAGTGGAACAAGAAGTTCAGGGTATTCTGCCTCATGAAGGTTCTGAACAATTCAAGTGGGTGTATTTTGCTGTTTTTTTTTTGCATTTTTTTTTTCAAGTGAGTGAATTTTGTTTGATTTTTCTGCTTCTGATGATAATTTAAAGGAAAAATACTACAGTTCTGCAATAGGTTAAGATAACAGAAGGGTTTCTGGAATGGGCTCTACTGGGTTTGATTTGTTAAGAGTTAAAAGGATATAGGAACTGGCTTTAAAGAGTTAGTGACTGCATAATATTCAGCTTGTTATTGAATGTAGAAGCCCAAGCATGTACGGACACTCCGATTTATTATTTATGGGATAGTATTAGCCATTTAAATAAAATATTTCTGTATAAGCCATTCTCCTCTCTATCTTCACGTAAGGGTTTGGTTGCGTACACTCCCCCCTAGACCCCACTTGTTGTAGTTCACTGGGTATGTTGCTGTTGTTGTATAAAAAGTTGTTCTTTAATCAAGTGTATTACAAGACATCTCATTTTATTGGTATATATCATTATTGAACACAGGTTCCTCAACAAAGCGTTGCTCGCACCCAATGGTTCCAAGGAAAATGGGAAAATTTGCAGTATCAGTGAGGTTGAGGAGGCTAAGGCTATTCTTAGGTTGATTCCAATATGGACAACATGTTTGGTATATGCTATTGTGTTCTCACAGTCATCTACTTTATTCACCAAGCAAGGTGCAACTATGGACAGATCTCTTGGTTCAAATTTTGAAGTACCAGCTGCCTCATTACAATCTTTCATTAGCCTCTCTGTTGTCATTTTTATTCCTATATATGAC